TCGTCCTGGAGGCGATGGTAAATATCGTGGTGGTAATGATGGCAAATATGTCCATAAGGATGTGAAATATGTTCACGACGATCGTCCAGGAGGAGGTTATACGGGCGATGCAAATCCCTATAAGCAGGACAAAGATCGTTTTGGACCTGGTGGTGGCGGCGGTGGTGGTGCTGGAAATGCAGCTGCAAATGGTGCAAATGCAGGTGGTGGGGCAGGTGCTAAAAAACCGTCATCGGGCAGTGGTAGTGGAGGAGGTGGTGGAACTTTAGCTGCAGCTGTAACAGCCAAGCCCTTACCAAAGGGCAAGGGAAGTGGCGAGGGAAAAAATGGCTGGGCAATCATACGTTTGGAAGATAAAGTCGAGGAGGATGGATATCATTACCTGTGAGTATGAGAGTTAGTGAATTGAGAGATGCAAAGAACTCGTATAAAAAGGAACATGTGAAAAGTATGTATATTCTGTTTCACCAAAAAAAAAAAAATTGTTACAAATCGGATTACTGAAATTTATAATTTATGACATGTCAACTTCTAATGTTAAACAATTTTTAGTTTGCTATAAAATGTTAAAAACATAATTCCGATATGCCTTAAAGTATGCAATACATTTGTAATTAAGTGTTTTCAATAACAGTGTTAATTCTTTTGAAAGAGCATTAACCCTAAACCATAATTTTGCAGATATGAAACCGAAAATGGAATTTTGGCTGAAGAAAACGGACGCATTGAAGCTCTCCAAACTGATCCGGGCCTACGTTCCAAAGGATTCTACGAATACACCGGTGATGATGGCAATTTATATCGCGTAGAATATACAGCCGATGACAATGGTTTTGTGGCCCAAGGTGACCATTTGCCAGTGGTTCCACCTCACATACCCAAATTGTTGGCTTATTTGGCAGCCAATGCCTCAAACAAGAAGTAAACGAGCTGTAATAATCTCTCCACTTTAAAGTAATTGTTTCTTTGATGACTAACAAAAATTGTAATAAAATATTGATGACTAATGATTGGGTAATAAAATTGTGTTTGATGTTGATTATTTGTTTTATTATTATGTTCTCCACAATACAATGGAGAACATATAAAATTTATTACCCAGAAATATTCGTCGGTGACCCAAAAAACCTATTAAAGTAAGTATAGAGAATCCTAGTGAGAAAAAAGTCGGTGCAAATTTAGAAAACTGCAATGAAAGTGGTTTCTTTTAATAACAATGTTATCGGCAATCTATATTCTCTAATGGTTACCATAAAAAATTCTACAAATATTGTTCAATTAATTTACCAACTTTAACAATAAACATAAAAAGGGATCTCAAAGAACCCTTGGTGAGTATATCAACAAATAGGCGAATTAATTTGGGAAAAGTTCTAAAATAAGGGGTAATACTATTTAAAAGATATGCGTAAACCTGTATATGATATTAATTTTTTTGCGAACAACTTTTTTATCTGATGAGAATTCTTAAAAGAAAATTACCTTTAATTCTATTTTTAAAATGCAGATGAAGTGTGAGATCGATAAACGACTAAAGTTTAGCATTTTTAATGAATTTTGGAGGTGGAGATTATAAAAACGTCAAAATAATTTATCAAAGTTTTTCGGTTTTAGGGTTTTCTAGGCTGTTAAGCCATATTAGAACTAATTAAATCTGTGAGATATATTTAATTTTACATATTCCTCATCCATTTGAAGGCATGTTGACTTAGTCATTCGGACGAAACTTTATAGTACAGTAAATATGCAAATGTACTGAAAGACGGACATACCAAAAAATTGGAGGCTACTGGTTCAATCCCCATTTCCGAACCTGTCAGTGTATCGAAAATCAAAGAACAACATTACATTGGGCCACACCTAAACGTAAACCAATTTAGCGCATTTAAAATACCATCCCAGACAAAATAAGTTATTCAAAACTCCACACAGAAAAATGAAGAAGAAATGACGATGTTAGTAACGAAATGAGAATATCATGGTAGGCGACAATTCCGTTTTTTCCATTTGTATTTTTAACACATTCGTTAAGGTGTGAATACATAAGGAGTTTGAATTCATGGCTAAGCATATTTTGTGACATTTCATAAAGGGATTACAAAGCCGCACTTATATCCTGCCGTCGTTTTCTATTATAAATTGACATTAATATGCACAGCCATGACTTCAAGCTTTTGATGTACTTGCACCTTTAGTATTAGAAAACTTTACATTTTCTGAAAGCTCTCTTTTCTTTCTCTTTCACAAGAATTGTTATTTTCCTTTCCTTCCTTCTTTATATCCAAACAATCATTGATCCATCAAGGATCAATACGAAAGAAGTAAATTGGGAAACTAGGAAATTAACAATTTTATTACCTGGTGTCGACATATTTTTTGCGGCTCAATCTCTGAACACAGCTAACCCATTGGAAGAAAATTTGAGTCTTGTGACAAATTGTTTCAAATTTCATATTTAAAGTTTGTAATGGGTGCTACAGACTTTAACCAAAAATTACTAATGCAGGACCACGTCTTCGTATAAGCCCCATATCTTTCGAAGGAATTTTTTGATTTCCTTTTTTTCAATTTCAATTTTTTTCAATTTCCTTCAAAATGTTAGGCTCAGCGGAACTTTTTACATGTTTATCTTAAGATTAGCCTTGTCCTTGAATCTCAAAATAACATTTGACAATTAATATGGCATTAATATTTGAATGTTCTAATTTTTCGCTAAATCACCAAAATACCGAATATTAGGATGTACCATTATGTATATGGGGTCTATGAGAAGACGTGTATTAGTATGGGCAATTTTCTGTCATATGCAGAAGTGCCAACTGCGAACTGCAAATTCCGAATTTCAAATATTTCTGTCGTAAAATATCGCAAAATACCGAATATATGGAGGTATAGCTATATGTAAGCCATGCGAAAAATGTGGATCTTTATTGGCAAATTTCTATCATAGAAAGTAATACCAATTTTAAAATCCAAATACCAAATTTGAAACAAATCCAGTGAAAAGAGTGTACCGATACATACGAAGATGTGGACCAGCATGAGCATTGACCCGGGTCATTTCTAAGCCACTCGTCCGACAGCTGTTAAAACTATTCCAGTTTCAGCTCATTATATTGTTTACAAGCGTACAAAAGTATTGTGGTAAAAATTTTCCAAAAAAAAAAATATTTGCGATAGAATACAAGCGTGATAGTGTGATTTTTTTTTTATATTTGGCTTCAAAACCACAAGTGACTATCGTTAGAGCACTCCAGCATTTAAATGTGAATAAATCTCTTGTGGGTCGTACCATCGCTAGGTACCGTGATATTGGTAGCGTAGCCCGACGTCAAGGAAGTGGACGCAAGAAAACAACAACATCAGCAGAAATCGTGCGAAAAGTAAAGAAGCGACTTGATCGAAAACCGCGTCCCAGTGGCCGAAAAATGGCTCGTGAGCTGAACATATCGCAATATTCCATTCGGCAAATATTGAAAAATAAGCTCGGGGTAAAGACATTGAAATTCTCAAAACTTCAAGAGTTTACACCGCTGCAGAAAGAAAATAGACTCAAAAGAGCTAAAGAGTTGCTTCGCTGGGCTGAAAGCGGTGAACTGCCGAATTTGGTTTTCTCTGATGATCAAACATTCGTTGTCCAGCAGTTTGTAAACAAACAAAATTATTGTGTTTACTTGCCAAAGAGGTCAGGTGAAAATGTGCACCTTTAGTTGGCCACCAGAACTCAAGCACCGGTCATGGTGATGATGTGGGCTGTCATAACAGCCGTATCAGATGAAATACCGAATATTATAGCGAAAATATTCTGGAGGGTGTATTAAACATTTTGGCTGCAGACATTGGACATTCCAACAGGACTCAGTACCATCGCACTTAGCATGCGCCTCCAAAGAATGGTTACACAATGAGGTTCATTTCCGGCGCAGAATGGCCACCAAAATCTCCGGATACCAATCCGTTGGACTATTGTGTCTGGAGTAGAAAGCAAACGCTTCGCCGGGAATGGGTCAAAACCACACAGAGCAACATTCGGGCAGCGTGTGACGTGTGGTATATATAGAATCAAAGAATTTATTTAAGACCCCATATATAGGCATCACATTCTCTGGCTGATAATTTGCAATAGAGGTGCACGGTTTAGATATTCATTTATCTAAAGAATATGGTAAAAACAGGTTCACACTGTATATAACGGCACCGCACGATATTTGGAATATTTGTGGTTATTTCCTCATTCTACGGCTGAAATACCTGTTTAAAATGTAACTTTCTCAAATATTAAATAATAACTGCTATTTTGAAAGGTTTTGTTTTCTTTATGCTTTACGCAACTACTTATTAAATTAAAGGCAGAACCTTGACGAACTTCAAGCTTAAGCATATCAACCCAAAACAAAACGACCAAATCAGTCGTAAAATAACTAGCCCATTAAAGGGCATTCGTGAAAGTAACATATCGTAGTATATGATAAATTTGTTAGTGTAACTATGTATTTGAATAACGTGCTCAGTCGTTGGAAACAATGACAGAAATTTATTAGTTTTGATAATGACAATGTGAATTTTCACACATCAGCTTTGGATATTCGATGTTTTCGTAAGGCCTCGTATAACTGAAACACCTGCTATTTGATTTTTTTTTTTTTAATTATTGTGGCATTTTTCAATGGATTTTTTGTAAATTTTGCAAATTCCTTCCAAATATAGGAGGGTATTAAAAGATCGATCCGGCTTAGCTGCGTTTTGCTCGATTTTTTTTTAATTCGATCTAAAAACGATGGGTTCATAATCTTGATTTTACTTAAAGTATCGGACTGTAATTTTATCATTTTATATCAGATTGTGTAGTGGAATTTATAGAAAAAGTAAAAAAAGAAATATTGTCTTTTTTTATACATTAAATATTTTTCACTTACTCCGATTTTATTAAAAGATAACAACATTTCGTTTTGTTTTCAACTTCAAAAGTAAATATGTACAAGTAATTTTAAAATAATATACGTTAAAGTATTTTAAATTAACGCAGCAATACAATAACTCACATGTATTTATTACGAGTTTTTAACACATTTACACCGAAAGCAACTTCATTTATTTATGATAATGTTTTATTAAAAGTAAGCATCTCTAATAACAATAAAATGCAAAACCCAGTTTTGTTTATGGCCTATGCCGGCCAATTGTATAAGCAGCCATTTACAATGTTGGCAAAATATTGACTTCTATATACTCCAAGACGTCTTTGATGGCATTCTTTAAGTTTTCGTTCTACAATGAAAGAAGAATAAAGAAATCTTATTTATATATATGTAAGAAATTATATAATCAATTTTTGACGATCATTTGGATTTAGGTAACCTACTCCAAAAAAGTTGTTATTCCCGGGGCACAAATATGAGGACAAATAAGTAGCTACACTTTTTAGTGTCAAAATATTTCCTAATAGTAGAGCATGAGTGAAAATGGAAAAAATCGGTCCCCTCTTTTTGATTCCCCAACCACAAAACTTAAATTTTTTCGAAAAAAAAATATTACAATCTCGTATTGAACGTAGGGAGTCTATATCTGTAAAAGAGGAAAATGTTTGTACGTTTGTTTGTTTGTTTGTAATTTATGGACTCGAAAACCGCTTCACAGATTTTCCTGAAAATTTCCAAGTATACTACAACATCGCCTATATACTACAACATAGGCTATATATATATTTTTAAAATTCCACTCGGAACTGGAGATATAGCATCAGAATCGGAGGTACCTCCCAAAAATTTGGATTTTATATGCACATATCTATTGATCGATTACAGATTTGATTACAGGATTTGATTAGAAAATATATTAGTCATTTTATATGGAAATCGGTTCAGATTTGGATATAGCTTTCATATATATTTTCGCCTGATTTCATGTATTTGACGCATTAAATACGCTGTGTATGTTCAATTTCAATGAAATTTGAAATGTGTGACGGGATTTGATCAGAAAATAAATTTGTCAAATTATATTTAAATCGTTTCAGATTTGGATATAGCTCCCATATATATTTTCGTCCGATTTCACATATTTGATGCACCAAACACGATACGTATGTTCGGCTCCAATCAAATTCGGCAAGAGTGACTAAATTTGGTACAAAAATAAATTTGCCAAATTATATTGAAATCGGTTGAGGTTTGGCTACATCTCCCATATATATTTTTCGGCCGATCTCATGAATGTTATGTACCAAACACTATATGTATGTCCTATTCCAATGAAATTCAGAATGTGTGGCGGAATTTGGATACAATAATAAATTTGACAAATTAATTAGAAATCGGCTAAAATTTTGATATAGTTCCCATATATATTCTCGGCCGATTTCGCATATTTTATGCACCAAACACGGTATGTACCTCCAATTTCAATGAAATATGGAAGGTGTGACGGAACTTGGTGTAAATGTAAATTTTGTCAAATTATATTGAAGTCGTTTCAAATTGGAATATGATTTTATTAAGAAGCATTGACCCACAACACCTTTGCAATGGTATAAGACTAACAGTAAAGAAGTAAAAAAGCAATAAGTTCGGCCGGGCCGAACTTTGAATGCCCTCTACCATTTGGAACGAATTTGGCAATTTTCAACAAAATAAAATCCGTTAAAAATTGTTTTAAAATCTTAAAAATACCGAATGTATACGAAGACGTCGACCTGCACAGATAATCTTTTGTCATAGGCTGTAGTATGCATTACGAACTTCAAATACCAAATTTGAACCAATACCGGCGAATAATGTCTCTAAAATCATCAAAGTACCGAATATCGGGCGGTACCGTTATATGGGGCTGTACCAAAACGTGAACCTACATTTTTCAATACTAAAAGTCCTGCAGACATAATATACATTTGAGTAAAATTTTATCAACACAGACTGACAGACGGATAGACGGACGAACATCGCTAAATCGACATAGAGTTTTATGCTGATCAAGAATACATATACTTTGTGGGGTCTAAAATGTATATTTCGAGGTGTTACAAACGGAATGACAAACTTAATATACCCTCCATATTATGGTAGAGAGTATAAAAACTACACAAAAATTTAATTGAGGGTATGATTGTTATTGGGAAGTATGTTGCTACGTCGAATTCTCTAATTGCAACAGAAATGCCTTTCAACTTCAAAAGATTGCAATTTCCGGCACGCTTGGCATTTGCTATGAAATAAAAAAATCCGAAGGACAATTTCTTCATGTTTGTGGACTAAATGTATCATGTTCCTGCTTTTCACATGGTCAGCTGTTGTTTGTTTACGCATTAAAGTATTACAATAATAACGTTTTTAAAAAATCTTGAATTTGTTTTATTTATATTTTTTAACCAACAAATATTCATAATTAAAATTTTGAATGCAATAAAAGCGAAAGGAGTAGGGAAGAGCGCCGGGTTCAGCTAGTACACTATATAGTTCATAATGGGCTAACGGAAATGGGCAATTTTGATCCACTTATTTTTGTAACGGATTCCCATATTATTGTTAACGTTAGGTCAGATGTGAAATTTTCGATAAATCAAAGATATATCTCATATAAAACGACTGAAGAAGCTGTTGAAGAACAAGGTGGATGGATGGACACATATAGGCAGATCGACTATGCACCTCTAAATATTTTTAGTTATTTTTTATGCTCTCCATGATAGGAGGTGTATTAACTTTGTAACTCAGTTTGCAATGTTTATATCTGTAGCTTCTAGTACCTCACTAGGTACAAGAAGGAGTGGACCAATGTTGCCAATCTCCGAACTCGATCTAAGTCTGACAATAAAATAACGGCGTTTCACAATAATATTTGGATATAGTCGTATATTCCTTTCGACAGCTATCATGCGCAACATCCAGCTAGACAGATGGACGGACGGACACCACTAGATCGACTCCAAATGTCCTGAAACGGACCTAGGGTCTAAAACAGTTATTTCGATGAGGCAGGTTTTGGCCGTATCAAATGATATATACCCTCTGCAGCCATATGGCTGAGGATATAACAAACAAACACATGTTATAGATAAATTTTGAATATAATTTTATTAAAGAATATTATAGTTTATTCTTATAGGTATAGAGATATTTTTCTGCAAAATATTTCTCCTTTTGACACCATCTGCTTAAAATAAAAATATATGTTACTTTCAGGCGTCAAACCACAAAAAGGCCGAGGAAGCATTGTTCAGATTTTTTTTTTTTTTTTTTTTGGGAACTATGATGCAACCCTTTTTTATGCAATGAAAATGAAGATTTATTTTCTCTCGAATTTTATAATAGAAACTAGCTAAAACCGATGAGCTTCGCCACACCTTATGATTTTATATGCATACAAAATTTTATATGCGAATGTATGTTGGTTTAAAAAAATAAAACTAATTCAAAAATTTAAATAAAATATTGTTATACTTAAATGTGCAAATAAACAAATAGAACACGCGTTCTACCAACGCGTGAACATGACAAGAACAGCTGACCATGAGAAAAGCAGGAACATATCGTGCATGCCCGAAGGATTAGTCCTTCTGTCCAAATTCCAAATTCAGCCATATATTCAGAATTTCATTGGAATCGATCATATCAGAACCGATTTGAATATAATTTGACAAATTTATTTTTGTACCAAATTTAGTCACTCATGCCGAATGTCATTGGAATCGGAAATACATATCGTGTTTGGTGCATCAAATGTGTGAAAGCAGCCGAAAATATGTATGGAAGCTGTATCCAAATCAGAACCGATTTCAATATAATTTGACAAATTTTTTCTGATCAAAATTCCGTCGCACATTCCAAATTTTATTGAAATGGAACATAAATATCGTGTTTGGTACATCAAATTAACGAAATCTGTATCGATTCAAATCTGAACCGATTTCAATATAATTTGACAAATGTATATTCGTTTTAAATTCCGTCACATATTCCTAATTTCATTGAAATTGAAGATACAAAGTGTGTTAGGTGCATCAAGTATATGAGATCGACCAAAAATGTATATGGGAGCTATATCCAAATCTGAACCGATTTCAATATAGTTAAGCCAAAAAAAATCTTACACAAATTCCATCACACATTCTAAATTTCATTGAAATGTGGCTTACACAGCATGTTTAATGCAGCAAATACATGAAATCGGACGAATATATTTATGGGAGCTATATCCAAATCTGAACCGATTACAATATAATTTGAAAATTCATTTTTGTTTCCAATTCCGTTACGCATTCCAAATTTGGAGACTGTTATCTGTAATCGATCAATAGATATGTACATATAAAATCTAATTTTTTGGATTCTGATGCTATATCTCCAGTTCCAAGTGGAATTTAAAAAACATTATGTAGCCTATGTTACATTCAGGAGATGTTGTTGAATACTTGGAAATTTTCAAGAAAATCTTCAGCGGTTCAGGGGTTTTCGAGTCCATAAATTACAAACAAACATTACATACAAACATTTTCCTCTTTAATAGATATAGATTGGATTTTAGTCATTGACGTCATCATCTATAATCATGCTGTGTATGAGATTTTTGCATAAACTTCTGCAAAATACTTGCGATTATGTAAGATTAAAAATTTTGATGTCTACTACGACCTATAAAAAATTTGTTATATCTTATTATTAAAATCAGTAACATAGCATACCTAAAATTAATGAATTTCAATGAATCTTAATTCGAAAAATGTCCAAAAAGTTAAAGAGGGGGAACTTTCTCCCTCTATTAACTCTCAAAAGGCAAATACACGCTGCATCCATATTTACTTTATATTTATAATCTACTGAAGGTTTGCTGTAATTATTAGAAAAAAAAAATACAAGTAAGCAAAGCCGATGGTCGTGCGGGGCCGACCATATAATACCCTACAATACCACAATATGTTACAAGCATCTTTATGTCCAAATTAGTTTTGAAAATTATGTAACGGAGCACTGCCCAGATATTACCCTTAGCAGTTGCCCAATATTTACGAACTCCGTCGTGCTGTTAGTTGTTGTGGTACATTTTACAGCTAAATATAATCATACATTTTACAACTAAATATATCATCCAAACTGCTAAAACTCTTCTCTGTCATTAACACCCTTCTCGGGCGGGTCGATTGGCTTCAATTGTGTGATCAGGAATTTGTTTCTGTTATTTGTTAATTTGAACCCCTAAATATTTTACGATCATCTCCAAAAGGAAGAGGCCCCTCTGTATCTCTAAATTTAGACTCATCTATATGATTTGCTTGTCTACGATATTTGGCTATATTAGTCAACGAAATCAGCATAAAAAACCAGAATTTCGCTATTTTGGGTATTTCGGATATCGCCTATAAATTATTTTCAGCGTTTCGGTAGAACTGAAATGTTGGTATTTTTCACTTCCACTCACACTTTCAATATATTGCTGGCATCTTTTCATGCGATAAAAAATATGAAAAAATAAAAAAAAAATGTCACAAAATACTATAAAATCTATATTAACATCATTATTGGATCTTTTTATGCGATTGACAAAATTCGTCAAAATCGGTCCAGCCATTCTTGAGATATAAGCATTCTAGCTAACATCCCCTTCCTTTGTATACACACATTGTACATATTTCGCTATATGTATTCGATATATTTACCATCGGCATCTACGTAACGATCAGAATTGACCTGTTTGATTTCGCCGGGATTAAAAATATTCGCGGTTTAATGGAGAATTTGACTTTTATTTTACCCAAATGTTATGGTCTATTTCACCCACTAAATAATACCCGATGACCATAAAAATTGGAAGGCTTCTGACTAGTCCTAAGCTCTAGCCCCATGCTAACTTCCTATAGAGCAACTGCAAAATCAGGATATTTTCAGTTCTTGGTCCATTTAAACCCCTAAATATTATGCGATCATCTCCAAAAGCCATAGGCTTCTCTTCTGGCCGTAGCCCCACATCTATTCTAAATTTCGTGAAGATCGGGCCATGATTGCAACCTGTAGAGTGATTACAAATTTACATGTACAGACGGATAGATGGACGGACGGACATACATAGCTAGATCGACTCAGCTCGGCGAGAAATGAAGATCCATAAATACATTCCTATGTGGGAAACCAATATTTCGAGGTGTTACATAATTTTTGGTCCAATCAAAATTATAATACCCCCAACACATATCGTTGTAGGGTATAATTAATATCGTCAGACATTGTTTATGAATAGAGAATGTAATGTGCGGGTTTAACTTTTAGTATCCTCCACTTTCAAACAAACATATTAAATAGCCTACTTGATATTCAAATCAATTTTCCAGTTGACGTCCTTAATGGTGATTTATTTGAAGTATATGCAATAGAATTGACAATTTAATTGTTGACAATTTTTCTAAATCCGATAAACAGTAGACGACTAATGGTCCTCTTTTGGTTATAATTTCATTGCATAAAAATAGAAATATGTGATCCTACGATATGACGCAGAATGCCATAAAATTACCATTATGGATTGATATTCCATGTTCAAATACAATTCCATCTGCTGAAAACTAGATATACCAAATAATCTAATTCTTTAAAATGCTAACTACTCACATTTGATTTATCTTTTCGATCCGTAACAGAGTAATCGTAACCCCTGGCCTTATCATATTCTCCATCAATGTGGGCATCACTTTCTTCACTACTCGTCTTAGTTGCAGTATCACTGTCACCCGTTGTGCCATCTTCTCCATTGTCGGCAGGTGGTATATAAGCTTTGCCATGTCCATTATTACCACTGAACAGCTGATTTTCATTAACAAAATTAAATTGATGGCTTTCATCGCCATCCCGCAGCCATTCAAATTTTATGATTTGCCAGCCACTGCCTTCGTAATTGAAGTCGACCATGAAGCGTAGGCGATCTTTGTCGCTCAAAGGCAAAATACCAGGACCACCATCGGCCTTGACAACGAAAATATTGCCACTGGCATCGTGTACATATTTTAGGCCTCGATCACCATAGCCGCCATCATAGGGACGATGAATATGTACATATTTGCCGCTATCGTCCGGCGTCCATTTGCCCCTTAGGCCTCCATGTAGTTCTGGTACATAACGTCCTGGTTTGATTGTTGTGCTGGTATCCTGTGGCAAGGTCTTGGTAAAGTTCAGCAATGTTGCGATCACAATGATTTGTATTGAAACTTTGTATCCTTGAAATTGTGACATTTCCACTTCAGTAAAATCGAGATTCAATACTAGTTTTAAAATTGTTTTTTCTAACAATTATTTTATTTAAATTTATAAAAATGTGTGAATGCTATACGTTGTACCTGAAGACTATTTCACAATTGTTTCATAAGTAAAGATAACACTATGGATTTTTCAGCGGTTATCAAAACAACTTCTGTGAAAAAAACATGTCAATATTTTTATCAATTTTATTTGGTTATTATTACAATTGCAGCTAAGCGTTGACGAATGTCTGGTATGTTATTTTTACTTTTACCCTACACTAAACAACATCAGCAAGAGAGGGAGACACTGGTTTAAGGGAAGACTTTAACTGTAATGTAAAAAAGAGATTTTAGAAAGTTTTAGTCGGAATATCGACAAATGTATTTTAGTGAGCTCTTGACATTGAATTGAAAATAATTATAATCAAAAATTGTAAAATCCCCATATTAAGCAATAATTATACCCTACAACGGTATGTGTTGGGGGTATTATAAGTTTGATTGGGCCAAAAATTATTTAACACCTCGAAATATTGGTTTAGCACATAGGAAAGTATATATGGATCTCTCCGAGCTGAGTCGATTTAGCTATGTATTAATTATTGTTATTATGTATTATGTATGTATTAATTATTGTTATTATTGTTAATTTGTAATCACTCTACAACTATGGCCCGATCTTCACGAAATTTGGAATGGAGGTGGCCAGAATAGAAGCTTATTGCTTTTGAAGATGATCGCATAGTATTTAGGGGTTGAAATGGACAAAAACTGAAAAATTTTCTGAATTTGCAGTTACTCTATAAGTCGCAATTATAGACCAATCGAAGTGGAAGTTATCATGGGGCTGGACAGAAGCCTTCCAATTTTTAGTCAAATTTTCCATTTAACCACTAATATTTTTAAAAAAAATATTAAAAAAGTCACATTTTCCATTAGATTGCGAATATTTTTAATATCGGAGAAATCACAAATAGACGAACAGATCAATTCTGACCGTTACGTAGATGCCGATAGTAAATATATCGGTTATATATAGCAAAATATATACAATGTATATATACGAAGGAAGGGGATTTTAGCTAGAATGCTTATATCTCAATAATGGCTGGACCGATTTTTTCAATTTTCATTTTGACTTATACGAAATTCGGGCTTTTTATGCTGATTTCGTTGACGAATATAGATGTATCTAAATATAGATGTGTCTAAATTTAGAGATACAGAGGGGCCTCTTCCTTTTGGAGATGATCGCAAAATATTTAGGGGTTCAAATAAACAAAAAAACAGAAACAAATTCCTGATCATAGAATTGAAGCCAATCGACCCGCCCGAGAAAAGATTTGAAGACATTGATGAGTTCTAGCATTATGGATGACCATTGGATTATATTTATTTATTTTAAAATGGACTACAACAACTACCAGCACGACGGAGTGCGTAAATATGGGGCAACTGCTAAGGGTAATATTTGGGCAGTGCTCCGTTACTTGATTTCCAAAACTGATTTGGACATTAGAGGCTTCTAACATATTGTAGTGTGGTAGGGTATCATTTGGTCTGGCCCGCCAACCATAGCCTTAGCTTACTTGTTTTTGTATACATTTATTATTTTCAAAAAATTATTATAGATTTTTTCGATTCTTGAATAGTCTTACTATATGGCTGTATTCCCTAGGCATTGACCTCCATTTCTAGCTACAGTATTAGCAGTAAACTATCGTAATATACCGACAGTAGTTCTACCAGATTTAAAAATAACATTGAAAATCTTGAAATTCATTTGGAATGTCAGCCACTCAATTAGATTATTCAATAAATATGAGAAATTTAAAATGTGAATATGAAAAACTTGCATTTGAATGGAATTCCTCTGCTTCTTCTCTTTTTCTTTTTAAATTTCAATTGGCAACTTAACAAATGCATTTTTTCAAATAAATTGTATTTAGCATATCATTATTGCATGGGAAAGGGATATTACTCACAGTGACAGCCATTTGGCTGACGTTCCCTGCAAATGAACTGCATTATTTTAACCGGACAATATCATTTGAAAATTAAAAGTGTGAATACAATTTATTAAATGTGATTCTTTATTGTGAGTAGGCGGATTTATTTGATGTGAAAAGATACGGATTGAATTTCACTGAGGTTAACGACTGGGCGAAATAAATTATAGGCTTAAGTCAGTTACATGTCAAACAGAAAATGTGACAGTTATCAATTGGGATAATTAAGTGACAAATTTTCCCTGCCTTATATGAATTGTACTTTTATTTATTAAAGAGACAAGGTTATCCGTATTTAACAACTAAATATGTTTTTTTTTTTTTGGTTTTTAGGGAACTGATAATTTATTGAGAAATTTTGCCAAATATCGCAAATTTGGAAATTAAATTTGTATTATATCAATTATGGTTTTACGAGTTCGTGTCCTAAGTCTTTTGTTTTAAAACATTGGCTGCTGAAAATAGCAAAGGTTTTATACGGAGATTGCAGAGTGTTGTGTATGTTTCGAATAAAGATATATTTTCCTAACTGTTCCCAATGGCTAGAGTCAGGAAATAAGTATTTAGTTTTTGGAGATGCTTTTAAAATATTTAAGAAATGAAATTAAACAAAACCTGGATTATTTCCTGGTTTTGCAGACGTTCTACAGGCTTCAATTATAAACAAATTGAATGCCAGTTTGGATGTCCTTCAGATAATATTTAGAGCAAAAATTACATTTTTTTGTGAAAAATGCTGATCATATTCATTCAACAGATATTTTTATACCCTATACCATAGTATGGGGGTGTATTATTAAGTTTGTCATTCCGTTTGTAACACCTCGAAATATACATTTTTATTTATTTTTAAGATTTTAACAGAATTTTTTTGTGGATTATTGAGACTTGTCAAAATTCGTTCCAAATGGTGGAGGATATTCAAAGTTCGGTCCGACCGAACTTACAACTTTTTACTTGTTAGTCCTGGAATCACATCTTGGCGAAATCACAAATACATGGAAAGCAGAACTTCTGAACTTTATATATACGAATTATTATAAAGAAGTGCTGTTAGTGGTCTCGTGGCTCTTATCGAAAGCCAAGAGAATGCATTTGACAAAAAGAAATTATCCAAAAACGAAACATAAAAAATGTTGACCAAAATTATGAAAACAACGAATATAGTGGGGGCGGTGGGGGGCTATACCACCGCCCCACCCTTCTTCCAGAAGGGTAAAGTACCCACAAACACTTCGTATGTAGTATTTCAGACAATTTCATTGAAACAATAACCAAAACACCGAAATTAATGAATTATATTATTATTAACTAGTAAGGAAACGTCAAAAGTCGGGCGGGGCCGACTATATGATACCCTACACCACTATGGGCAATCGGTAGAGCTCCTGCAGCAAAAAATATATATATATATATATTGGAAGTTTGTGTGAAATAGGTTATACCAATACCAATACCAAACCTTATTTCAATGCTTATCATGGAGTAGTCACAATTCGGGAACTACATCCAACACTGAACCGATTTTCGACAAATTTGACTGAGGCTTTTGTACATTTAGTATCAAATAACATTGCTGTATAGTGCATGATATGACTTCTATAAAAATTAAATTAGGAAATATTTATTGGTGCAATAGATATGCCAGATGGAGTTTTACCAAATTTAAAAAATTCCATTGAATATGAAATAAATGAAAGTGTAGGTATATCGAAGATATATAAAAATCTGAACCGATCTCGAAAATTTTGAAAAAATTATTTTTGGGCTTTATCTGATATCTGATGTCAAATATTATTTTTGTGGAGTGCACATTACACATGATTGGGACTTAAACAGCAAATCGGGTGGAACATATATATGGTAGCCATAGCGATATCTGAAGCGATTTTCACCAAATTCTTCTTCTTGCTTCTAGTCTGAATTCGATCCGATGCGCCAAAATTCGGGTCATTTAATCTGATATTGGTCACTTGCTGCACAATTAACTCGAAATAGGTGGAAGATATATATGGGAGCTATATCTAAATTTGAACCATTTCTCACCAATTTCCTTGGGTCAAGCAAATGATTTGTGGACAATTGCATCTCAATCGGATAAAAAATGCGACCTGCATTTTGTTTACAAGAATACACGGACTGACGGACTGACATGCATAAATCGAGTCAGAAAGTGATTTTATGAGAATCCTCAAAAGTTACTATGAGTCTATCTCGTTCCTTTCTCCATGTTACAATCAAATGCACAAAGACATAAAGTAATATATTATTTTAAAACCTAGAAAATTGGAAAGGAACCTTAATATTCCGAATGATTTTTTAACTAGAACAACTATGTATGCCAATAACTCGAGGCATACGTTCATTTCAGCTACAAGGTTTCAGATCCATTTTTCTGTCTGGGTGGTCCCACCAAAAACTCACGGAGGGATCGTAATAATATTATCAAAGTTAGAACTTACATTTTCACTGCTTCTAGTACAAATGGGTAAAATTAGAATTTTCATAACTTTTATAAAATGTGAAAAATCAAAGTTTGCACTTAGATATTAAATTCTAAAAAAAAAAAACACTATACCAATATATAATTTGATAGGGCCAAAACCTTCCTCATCAAAATAAAAAGGAAAAATGGAGTCGATTTAGGGATATCTGTCCGATAACTCTCGAAAGGTATCCGATATGGTCCAAACTTGGTACATCGAGATATTATAGTCAAAATTGGAACGAGGTCGGAGATTTGCATTATCGGTCCACTCTTTATGATACCTCCCCAGAAAATGTCAAAATATTCATAGAAAAGAAATTACCTTTATTCATTATTAAATAAGAAAAGATCATCCAATTTTGTGCAAACTTTGCAAATCCTAATGTTCGTGTCAGTGCTAGTTCAGGTGCGAGAATTGACAATATCGACTCACTCCTCCCCACAAAGGGTCAACATTTTGAATACTTATGACCCTAACAAAATTTAAAGTAAGTGTCCGATTATCTTCAATCTTCGCTCATCGCAATATTTTCACCAACATAAAATCAAGCCTAAAGATGGGTACGTCTCCCGCAAAGGTGTCAAAATTTTGAATAACCAAAAT